CTTACCTCTCTTTTTTTTCCCTGAGCTTCTATTTCTCCTTTACCCCACAACCTTTTCTCTCATGTAGCTACAACAGAAAGGATCTGATATTTCGTGGCCCCCTCTAAAAACATGTACATCCTGAATTTACCAAAGTCTTTTATCAGCAATACAAATCCAACAAACACTGCTTTTTCGCCCTACTCATATCTTGTATCCTATTTATCCTCTTTTTCAAAAAATATGGGTGTTAATTTTGCATTTTAAAAAAAACTGTAGTGAAAGCCCCCTTTTGGCAAGACAGTGAGGAGTGAAGAGGGGTGAAAGTTTTTTTTTTGGGGGCCACCCCCCTTGGTGGGAATCGGCCAGTGTGATAATAAAAAAATGTATTACCTAAACTAAACCCCTTTCATACAAAGTTCAACAAAGGCCCCCATTATCTTTTTACACCGGGCACCCCAAACTTACCTACCACACCCTCTTTAAAATTTTCTCCAACTTTAGCTTTTCAGGTCCCCTACCACAATTCTCCTCATTTTGGTTAAAAGGCTCCTAACATTCATTTAACATCCCCCCAAAATCCTCTTCCCTTTGCTTTCCTTCTTCTCCAGGGGCATACCCCTTTATTATGACCCATTTTTCCATCCAACCTTTTCTTTAATCCACATATTCTTGAATTTACACATTTAATTTCCTTTTTCCCCTCCTTCCCCCTAAAAGATCCTTCAACATTTCTGCACCCTTTCCCTTTTCCAACTCTCTCAGATACTCCAATTTAACCCATTTATTTCCCCCACCAAACTCCCCCCACCCCCCCTTTGCTTTGTTTTCGCTTAGGGGCCCGGACTCCACTTTTTTTCATTTTATAGCATCAGCAACATCTGCTGCTTGTCATCTGCACTACACCACGCACATTCAAGCATCCCCGTTTTAAAAAGTTTTTCTTCTTTCTTTTTTTTTGTAAATGTCTACAGGAAAGAGGTTACTAGCCCATTTTCTCCCGCTTTAGTCGCCCATACGCATGCTGGCTTACAGGAAAGATTTTTTTCCCCCTTTCCCAGGCAAAAGAAGAAATAAAAAAGAAAAAAGAGCTATTAGAAAAAAGGAAAAAAACCCGATGTATGTAATACATAGCATTCATGTCTGTGAAGTGGCCCAAAATGTAAATAGGAGAAACAAGATATCTCTGTTACTAGCGTGTTTATGAACAGAAGAAAAACCCCAAATCCACCCTCATCAAAACAGTTTTCAGTTTCTGTTTCACATCACTGGCAGGGGCGTAGACTCCCCCGGGGGGTTGCTTTTCTCCAACCTACACCTACCTTCCTTTTACCCTACCAAATTATGGGTATGTAAGAGAAGGAGGTATAGGTTTGGGAGACGCAACCACCCGGGAAGTACTGCCGTCCTCCAGAACTGTAAACAGAAACCTGTAACTGTTTTGCATGAGGAGGATTTTCTGGGTTTTTTTTCTGCTCAAAACAGCAGAAACGGGATATCTTCAACCCCACTTACACTTTGGGCACCTTCACAGACAAGCACATCAAAAATATAAGTACATACATCTGGTTTTTCTTTCCTTTTTTTTAAATGCTCTTTTCTTCTTTATTTTTTCTATTGTCCATGGGGGAAATGGGAAAAAAATCTTTTCCCCCGTAAGCCATACCAAATTTATCAACCAAAACCCTGCAAATTTTCTTCAGATTTCCCAAAAAAACATTGTCCCCAGCAAAGAGCAACTGTACAAAATCCACTTTGTGTTAGATTCTTTTCTTTTTAAACCCCACACCTCTTCCAAAACCCGAGCACCTTCCTTACAGCCCATCTAAAATACGTATATTGAACCAGGTGCATCACACATCCCTGCTAAGGTCTACTTTTTTACTGGGAAATACCAACCTGACTTTCTTCCTCGAAAGACTCTTCACGCTTTCATAACCTACCTCCCATTCCATACATTTGCAACATCGCCAGTATTTCTTCTTACCTTAAAATTTTGGTTGCTGGGGCATGTGGGAACGATTTTGATAAGAGTGGAGAGGGGTGGTGGGCCCACTGGGCCAGATAAGGTTTGGATCATTTAGCTGAGGGGATGACGGAACATCAGTGAGGGGTGATTTGGTCATTACTGAGGCACTTGCAAACCGGGGTTATATTGTACAAGAGTACCGACAAATTCTATACATGTCTTTTTCTCTTTTATCCAGCAGTACTTCATTCAAAAGACAGTAAAGGGAAACATCACTGCCTAACCCCCCTTTCAAAAAGTGTTCTTGAATTATCAGGGCCCTCTTCATCTGCTAGTTTTGCAGTAACATCAAAAGCTCATTTACTGTTTCAGTATTAAAAACAATTTTTCCAGGTTCCTCTTTCCCCACTTCCTGTTATCACCTCCTTGTATCTGGGCACTGAGCTCTGCTACCTTTTTTCCCCCAATTTTTTTCTTCATCAATCACTAATAGTTCATTCACTTATTTTTCCTGCATATATCAAACCCTAAGCTGCAATCTCCTTGTCTGCTGAATAATTCCTATACGTTTGGTTTTTAACTAAGTTAAACCTGTTAAAGCATCCCCAAATATACCTCTAGGCCGAAAATTTCCCCCGCCCCGCAATTTAAAACGACTGGTGCACACGTTTAATGCACCTTTTTTCATAGAGGCACTGCAAAGTTAAATTTATGCCCAAAATTTTTTTACTCCAAGCTTGGGGTCAGCATCCATTGTTTTCAACAAGTTTCTGCTCACTTTTTCCCTTGTATTTTCACTTAAATTTCATAAAATTTCAAATACAGTGGTTTATTAAACCCTTTGAGGGGCGACAGGCCCTCCCAAACTCGTTCTCAGGGGCGGCCAAAATTTAAAAAAAAAAAAAAAATTATTTTCTTATAAAAAAGAGAATCTTTCCCGATCATAAAGACACCAAAAGTTTGAAATTTGATAAAAACTTACGGAATTAAGCTCCCGCAAATTTACGGTCCGGCGAGTTTACGCATCGGCATTTTGCCCCCTTTGGGGCCCCATTTTCGGCCAAATTTTACTGTACAGTCGACAAAAACATGAATATTTCGCTAAACTTTTTAAAATTTTTTTTTATCGAATGGATCAAAAAACCACTATTTTGAAATTCAACTATCCAGTCAGTGGTCAGAATTTGCAATTTTGCCAATTTTTTTCACAAAATTTCAAAAGATGCCAATTTCCGAAAGGGGCCAAAAAAAACAAGAAAGACATTCCTGGCACTAAAATGACATTTCCCCTAGTCAATCATGTCCAAGTCCCCTTTAATTCTTTTGCTTTCCACTTTGAATTTTTTTTTTCACAAAAAATATGATTTACTGTTACAGACTCTGCATTAGGTAAAAAAAAGGTATAAATATTATTGGGCACTTTGGAAAAAATATTAAACCACCATTGACTTATTGCAAGCTGGCACGTTTGTTTACTTTTTTAAGTTTGGGAAAAATCGAACATTTCTGCTACTTTTGAGCTCAATTTTAAGGACCTTTTTTTGTAAAACAGTCAAAATCACTCAAATTTTTGTAATATTCTTCCCTTCTATAAAATGAACCAAGAAAACTAGAGTCAACAATAAATACCATACGAAAATAACGCAAAGTCCTGATTTTTTTTAAAAAAAAATGGTCAAGTTTTTTTTCTCATTATGCACTGTGTGCTGCAGGATTTTTTTTAGACTGTGCACACTGGCCCAAGACCCATTCTTTTCATATGAAGCCTACCAGCTTTTTCCCCCCCACTAGATCTGAGGCCGTAAAATTTTTGGTACTAGTCTCCCAAAAAACCCCCACGCGTAAAAAGTACTATTTTCGACGAAAACCCTCAAAGGGGTTAAAGCTGTTGATTTGGGGGGCCAAAAACAACTTTTTAATGTGGAGAACATCCAACAAAGGTCTGAATTAGAAAAAGGGGAAATTATCAAAAGTGAAGATAACCCGAAAGCAAGGGGTTTTTCTGCACAAACAAAACAGACTTTGGGAATAAAGCAATGCTGAAACAGTCAATAAATAGTCCCGTCTCCATTCTAAATAGTTTTGACCTCCAAAGAACGGGGAAGGGTTTTTTTTCTACCTTTTTCAAAACACGGGGGGTTTGGAGCAGTAAATAACCGGGCTTATATTAAATTGCCGATGTATTAATGCAAAGGACAAGCTGAATAACCTTTTTCTGCCTTAAAACCACTCAAATTTTCTGCCTTTTTAGCTGTTCTACCCCATTTTTTATTTCTCTCAGGGCACAACCTCATTACTTTGCACAACCATACTTTGCCTCTCTCTTAAATTTCAAAGATGCTTCATTCGGCCTAGGGTTGTGCATCGTATCCATTGTGCCACTTGTAAGTTCATCTAAAAACTTAAATATTCTTTTAAACATCAAACTTTTGTGCTAATACTTCTTTTTTCCAGTTTCAGGGTCACTCTTATTTCCCCTTGAGTGCCATTTTATCTCCAGACATGAGATTAAATGATGAAAAACAAGAGTCAAATTTTCTAACTCAGGGTAATATGGAAAATGATGTGTAAGGACGAAGCACGGGGGAGGGAAGTTGTGTATATTACAAGGCCTCCCCCCAAGTAACAAAAAATAACAAAAAGGGCCCAAAACCGTACTGGAAGATACACAAATAACCCGCACATAAAAGACAGAAGCTTACAAAGAGTTTCGTCCGACTTGGACCATTGACAAAGTCACATGTGTGACTTTGTCAATGGGCCAAGTCGGGCCGAAACGTCGTCGTAAACTTCGTCTTTTATGTGCGGGTTATTTTTTGTATGCCCCCCCTTAAGACAAAGAACTCATCCTAGGGACATTGAGGTGGGGAAAAAAAATGTGGGGGCATCACTTTTCCCCTTTTATGTCCTGTGTTAACCAATATTTTTAAAGGGTTTTCACCAAAAAAGTTTTAATTTTGCAACTGAAAATTATAGCGAAAATGTGTTAACAGATCGCATATTACCCGATAGTCTACTGTATATACTTACAAATAACCCTGAAAATACCTACTTTGGGGTGATCCTGAGTAATCTGGCGAATGTTGACACCCTTACATCCAATAACAAACTTGTGGGACCAGGTGGGAGCTTCCACATATGCCTTTACAACCTTGCTGGCCTTGGCACATTTCACTGTCAAAGCTGCAACACATTTACAATATATTATACAATATTTACAGTTTAATATATTCACATACAGCAATTTAAGATGCCAGTTCAATCTTATGATACATAAAGAGTATAAAGAAAGTGTAAAAGATCTGAAGATATTTATATTAGATTAAGAATTCTATCTGTATTTTAAACTTCTAGACACTTCTCCTTATCCAATATGCTACTGCCTTACAGCAACAAATTAACCCTTTTACTGTCTCCCATAGTGATAAGTTATTGATGCCACTGTCGCTTATGTAAATCTACGTTTAAAGCACAGTACCCTCAAATATTCTTTTTCTTTCTTTCTTTTTTTTTTTTTTTTTTATTTCCAATTTGAGCAGTAAACTGGCTGTATCTCACCGGGACAGGGTGACCTGAAATGAAAAACTAAAGTTTCTCTTTTTAAATTTAGTAATACAGCCTCTCCTCACTTAACGATGGAATTCCGTTCCTAAGATCACGTCGGTAAATAAATTCGTCGCTAAGTGAGGAGCATGCTACAACGGTAGTGGGTATGTGTCAACCATCTCTGATATAATTTTAATGTTACCTTTGCACCATTTATAACATTTCTGGTATATTTTTAAATGTTCAAACAGTAGTGTACTGTATATTGTAATAAACAGAATAGAAGAAATCAGCTCTTATATACATTATTTAGGTATGCATACTGGTCACAGAGCCGGTCATAAGTCCAAGTCATCGGTAAACACATCAGTAAGTGAGGAGAGGCTGTATATACAGAAGGGGTTACTAGCCCCTTGCTACTGGCACTTTAGTCGCCTCTTATGACAGGCATGGCTTACGAAAGAATTCTGTTCACTTCCACATGGAGATTAGCAGAAATAAACAAGAACAAGAACTAAGAGGAAAATGGAAGAAAACTCAGAGGGGTTTGTATATACAGTAGATCGTCGTTTAACATGGTAGTTATGTTCCTGAAAACACCGTGGTAGTTAAAACCACGTTAAACAAACTGAAGGACTTATGGGAAAAATAGGGTTACATTCCTGAGAGCCCCCAAAAAGCCAAACAACTCTTTTTTAGACCAACAGATCTTACGAAATAAAAGTGAATATATAATTGTAGTTCATTTTCATGATGTATTATGTTGTTTCTACTGCTTAAGATTACAAATGCAATAGAAATAATAGTATTGCTTACCTATAATTGTGGGTGCTGGTGTTTGTGGATGATTGTGGAGAGTGGAGAGTTATGCTGTGGCCCTACTGGGCTGAGGTGGATGGTAGAGATTCTGGTACTGAAGTTGATGGTTGTATTGGAGTGCGCATAAATCAGTCAAATCAGTAGGTCAGTCAGTCAGTAAGTCAGTGAGCAATAAAGTCAGTCAGTCATTAAGTCAGCCAGCAAGTCAGTCAGTCAAGTCAGTAAGTCAGTCATCACACACTCACATTTACCTAGCAGGGGATGATCCTAAACACGTATGAACCCAAGGCTGGGACAAGGGTGGTGGGAGTGGTGGAGGGTAGAGGGGGTGGCGGAGGGTGGCGGGGGATGGTGGTATGTCTCCCCTGTTGACTCAATGCTTTAACCCACAGCTAGGCAGTGTCTTTCCCGCGGGCGACACTAAATTTTTCCCCTCCAGCACACTGAACCATGCTAAGTTAATTTTACAAAGTGTTATACAAAAATATGCCGCAATTCTTCAATAGTGCTATAACCGAAACATACCAAACAAAACCATGTTAAACGATGGTCTACTGTACATGCTTGTACACACATGTATAGTGTGACCTAAGTGTAAGCAGGAGGAGCAAGATGTACCTGAAACCTTGCATGTTTATAACACAGAAAAAGAGAGAGACCAGCAATCCTACTGTCATGTAAAACAATTACAGGTTTCCATTTGACATTCACTTGGCAGGACAGTAGTACCTTCCTGGGTGGTTGCTGTCAACCAACCAACTACCAATACTCAAATATGCTCCGATCGGTAAATTTTTGCCTAGACACGAGAGAACTGGTCTGTACAATGAATGTGAGCAGCATAAGAAAAAATCTTGCTTAACCTTTTGACTGTTTCGGTCGTATATATACATCTTACGAGCCACCGTGTTTGACGTATACAGTGGACCCCCGCATAACGATCACCTCCGAATGCAACCAATTATGTAAGTGTATTTATGTAAGTGCATTTGTACGTGTATGTTTCGGGTCTGAAATGGACTAATCTACTTCACAATATTCCTTATGGGAACAAATTCGGTCAGTACTGGCACCTGAACATACTTCTGGAGTGAAAAAATATCATTAACCGAGGGTCCACTGTATATCTCAAAAATTCTAGCAGCTTCAAATCAAGCAGGAGAAAGCTGGTAGGCCCACACATGAGAGAATGGGTCTGTGTGGTCAGTGTGCACCATATAAAAAAAAATCCTGCAGCACACAGTGCATAATGACCGTGTTTTTGGATTAAAACGCCAAATTTGTGGTGTATTTTTGTATAGTATTTATGGTTGTATTCTCATTGTCTTCATCTTATTTGATAGAGTGGAAAACATATTATGGAAATAGAGGTGATTTTGATTGGTTTTACTATGAAAAGAACCTTGAAATGGAGCTCAAAACAGGGGAAACGTTTGATTTTTGCCAATGTTTAAAAGTAAACAAATGATGTCATTGTCCAATAAAGGTCCAACTAGCCATTCTAATATGAAGTCATGAATGGGTTGGCATTATTTATACAATTATTTCAATATTGCAGTAGTCTGCATAACAGTAAATCTTCTATTTTTTGTTTGAATAAAAATTCAAAATAGAAAGCAAGAGTAATATCAGAGGGGCCTGGAGACATGACCGATGAACAAAGAAAATGTTATTGAAGAGCCAGGAATGTCTGCACTGTTCATTCTGAACCCTATTTTGAAATTGGCTAATTTTTTATTTTCGTGAAATTGGCCAATTGCAAATTTCTGACCATGTTATTGGGTAGTTGAAATCGGTAAATGGGCAGTTTCTTGCACTCAATCGCTAGAACAAATGGAGTTCTAAAGAAATAGCTATGAGTTTGGTCGGCTGGAACAATGGAATTAGCCGAAAATAGAGCTCAAAGTGGGCAAAATCGCCGATTCGTAAATATCGCCAAGGTCGCTAACTTTGTGAGAGCGTAATTCCATAAGTTTTCCATCAAATTTCATTCTTTTGGTGTCATTACCATCGGGAAAAGATTCCCTATCATTTCATAGGAAAAAATAATTTTTTTTTTTTAAAAATTTTTCGACAGGATTTGGGGTTGCGACAGTCAAAGAGTTAGCACCATGCATAAAGGATAGTTTTTATAGTTTTATTGACTGTTTCTTGGTATCAACTGATAGAACGGAACACACAATACTGAAACAAAGATGATTTTGGTTAATTTCAAGACTGGAAACTGTAAAATGTTGCTCAAGTTGTGAATATATTTTAACCCTTTCAGGGTCCAAGGCCAAAATCTGAAGTCACGCACCAGTGTCCAAGAATTTAAAAAAAAAAAATTGTAATTTTTTCTTATGAAATCGTAGAGAATCTTTTTGTGAAGGTAATAAAACAAAAAGTACGAAATTTGGTGGAAAATTTGACGAAATTATGCTCTCCCGCAAATTTTGATATGTCACGATATTTACGAATCGGCGAGTTTGCCGACTTTGACTCCCATTTTAGGCCAATTACATTATTCCAAACAACCAAATTCTTAGCTATTTCACTAGTATTACTTCTATTCTATCGATTGAGGGACAAGAAATCGCCAAGTCAACTGTTTCAACTACAAAATAAAGTGATCGGAAATTGTTAATTTGGCCAATTTAACACAAAGTTCAAAATATTCCAATTTCAAAATAGGCTCCAGAATAAACAATGTAGGTATTCCTGGAACTAAACTAACATTTCCTCTGTTCATTAGTTACATTTTAGGCTTTACAAATAAATTCCATTTTGATTTTTTATTCACATAATGAATTTTTATTCACACCAAAAAATAGAAGATTTACTGTTATGCAATACTGTAATAAATTGTATAAATATCATCACCATATTGTGAATGTATATTAGACCCACCAGCTGACGTGTATTAGATGTGTGAGGTCGTTTGTTTACTCTTGAATATCGGCAAAAATTTAACATTTCCGCTACTTTGAGCTCAGTTTCAAGCCATTTCCAGTGCTAAAACAATCAAAATCATCTCTATTTCTGTAATATATCTTCCATTCTATCAAATGAGACCAAGAAATTGCAAATACAACTATAAAAAACATACGAAAAAACACTGCAAAGTCGCTGTTTTAATCGAAAAATCATGATTTCAGTTTTTTTCTCTCATTATACACAGTGTGCTGCAGGATCTGTTTTATGTGGTGCACACATACCACACAGATGTATTCTGTCATATCTAGGCCCAAATGTACCACTCACAGTTTATCAGAGTGAGCTGAGCTCATGACGTAGATCTACGGTTTGGACCCTGAACGTAAAGCCGTAGATCTACGGGACGGACCCTGAAAGGGTTAATTTGACGATTTTCCTGAGTAAGGGTAGGACCCTCCCTACTCTCCCAAGTCTGTATTATGGGTTTTTACTAGGTCTGCTTCAATTATTGGGATCATTTAGATCATGATCACTCATTCCTGGTTGTATTTTATCATCAGAGAAATAGGGTAAACTTTAATCTGTTGCTCTGATGATGGATTCAAAATGGAGGGCAAGTGTTATACAGGAGAAGTCCAGGAACATGATTAATGAAGAGAAGATTATACTCCTTTTTAAAACTGGAATTTGTTGAATTTATAGTAAAATTGGCCAGTGTACTAACTTCTAAGTGTTTTGTGGATTAGTTCTGATAGTTGAATAAAAAGCATACTTGTGAAATAAAAAGAAATTTGGTCAAATTGAGCAATGGAACTGGCTTATAGAACTCAAGTGAGTGAAATTTCCAAAGCAAAAATAGCCCCTAAATCAACAACTTTGTGCCTGCATAATTTTGTAAGTTT